CAAGTATGCATTGCATCCGTCTTTTCTCCTTAGCTAAATTATGGAGGTTAAGCTCTAATTCTTCTTTCTCTTTTTGAGCTTGCTTCAAAGCTTTCTTCAAGTTGTTTATTTCTTCTAAGGATACTGGCAGAGGATCTAGAACATTTGGCTTGTACTCATGATCAATGTCAAAAGGTAGCTTAACAATCCGTATCCTATCCAAAACCCATCGAGTGTAAGGTTCTTTTGACACAACATTCTTCCTTTCAGCCTTTCTTTTATTAACCCCACTCCAAGATCGGATGATCTTGTTAAGCAACTCTCGGTCGTTTTTGCCTATGTCATGAATGATTAATTGCCAAAGTTGTTCATAAGAGGGTTTATCCTCCAAAGGGTACCCTAGTTATCGTAGATCCAAAGTAGGGTTGTATTTGATGCAACCACGTGATCTAATCAATGGAACATTTGGAAAGTCTCCGCAACTATATATGAGATCTCTAATGTCTAGTTTCCTCGCATACCACAACACATAATTAGCAATAAGAGACCTTAATTTTTGAGGCCACTTGTATCTCGTCAGATTTGGAACCATGTAATCTTCCTTATAGAGATGAGTCATAAGCCAAGAATATAAGAGTAGGACGCAGCAATTTAGAGTACCCCTCCCATTTTTATACCGAGTGTGAAGTGTATAATAAATATCAGCAAGTAAAGCAGGAGTTGGGTCCGCATTCAAAGCTTTCGCGCCCCAAAATATACTAATAGTTACATGGTCAATATAGTCAAAAGTCTGCGGAAACAAAATTACACAAAGACAAGTAACCCTAAGCAATCAACACAAGACTCACATTCTTTGTTATCGATAAAATAAAGAGCTTTAGTTTCCAAATAGCATCTCTTAATCCATTGTACATCACCTTCTTTTTTGTAATTAAGTGATAATTCAGGATAAGGGATCCCTAAACCATTTGTTAAGTCTTTAATGTTAATAGTCTGCCCAATTCCCACATAAGCTTTTCCCTTAGAGAAATTCAAGAGTCTATCAAATTCTTCCAAAGTCGGTGCTAGCTGAAAGTCTTGGAAGATAAAACACCTCAATGGAGGATCGTAAAATTGAACCAAGGTAGAAATAGCATCCAATTGTACATCCACTTTTGTCAACTCAAGGGTATCCCCATAACATCGAGTAAACATCTTCAAAGCTCTTTCATACAATTTCCCTTTGATGATTTTGATCTTTGTCATATCTGGCTTGACGACATTAACATAAACAAGTTGTTTCCCTTTGGCACTTATTTTTAAGACATTTCATCAAAAACCTTTGGTTATTTTTTAAATCATGTGAATAAGACAAATAAAAAGAAATGGAAGGTAACAAACATATGAATGCATGATTGTGTGGCATATTAACATGATTTTATAAAAGGTATCCTTAGTTGGTAGGTTCCTAATATTGGCCTACTGATATTCTACCCTCCTCGTAAGGTGGTTTCCTTAAGGGTATTATGGATAACACTAGAGGTAAAGGCACAAAGGCCTCCCTTAAGTGGAGCCTCTTTGTAGATCGAAACTTTCGTCTCTGAGTCGTGAAAGGTCTCACCGTGAGTTTTTAGTTTAAGGGTTTCGTTCCAAAGTCCTACCTCATAAGAGGATGTCTCTTGAGACGTATTTCTTTTTTGGAATTCCACCGACTCTAGATGAAGTCGTCACAAAAACTCATATGGATGATGTATCCCTTTGGCCAATAGACGAACCTTCTTTCTAAGGTGTTTTGAAAATAATTTAAAAAATAAATAAAATCCCGCCACAAATAAATATAATATGATAATAAAGATATAAAAGTAAACAAACCAAAATAAATAAATTAAAAAAAATAAAATAAAAATAAAGAATCCTAAAAAACCCTAAATCCTAAAGAGAGGTTTCTAAACCGTAGGTTGAGTCCCCAACAGAGTCGTCAACTGTTATAACCAGTTTGAAAATGAGAGTTGTCACCCTTAATTTTTATCTTTGGGAAGGAAATAGAAAGGATAATCCTAATTTGGTAAGAGTTTCTAAGTTGTTTGACTCGTTTCTAGATGAAGGGAGGGTGTTAGACACCCTTTATCTACCGCGTTCGCAAGGATACTAGGGTTTAGAATTGCAATTTTTTAGGAAATAGTGTTTTAATTTTTATTAGGGGAACTCATCACGATTTTAGTTGTATGCCTACTATCCTCTTATGAGGAATCAAAGTCCCGATTCGTAGTTCACAGCTGGTTGGTGTTTTTTATGGATTACGAAGATATTTTGAATTCTCCTTGAACCAAGTCTGGATGTGTGAATAACAGAGTTGTTAGATGAAGTTTGCAGTTAACGAGAAATACCTCCATAATCCTTTTCAAAAATAAACTCTTGAGTTTATTAAGTTAGTAAAATAGTGGTTAGTATTTAATTGGTTAGATATTTATTAAATATATTAAAAATATAAGAAAAATATTTTTAATGCATGATAAAAATGATTTTAATGCAATTTAGAGATGAGTTAGTATTTTTTTAAAAAAGGATTTGGAATTAAAAATAAAAATGAACAATTTTAAAATTTATAAAAATAAATATTTTTAAAAGTTAAAAAATATTAATAATAATAAATAAATAAAAATACAAAATATAAAAATAATATTAATTAAAATCGCAAAGGGGTGTGTTTTATTTAGACTTGACAATTCATGGGAGTGCAGATAACAAGGCCCTAAATCCAGATATTGGATATAACCCTAGATCACAAGGGGGTGTAAATCTGTACTACGAAGCAAAATGGGGGGGGGGGGGAGGGAGGGGTCCAGCAAGGGCCCAAATTCAGATACTGAGGGTGTACACTGACATATTGAATATAATGGATAACAATAATATACACAAGTCTACTTATGATTCATACCTTTGTTCGAAGCATGTCCAATGTTTTATGCACTCCTTCTATTAAGCTATCACCTTTCCATATAACTCAGGCAAATCAAGTTTCAAATGAGAAGAAAATATAGGATTACATCAATATAGAAAGCATAAATGAAACCACCTGTTCATCACTGAAAGTCGTTGGAGACACACATTGCCACTATCGCTACCATCACAACATTAGTCACCGTGGCTACTGTCGCAGTCACAATCGGTATTCCCGCTTCTGACAATATTTCTCGCCGCTGTATATCACAGAGTAGATTTTAACAGAAATTAAGAAGCACAATATGATTTTGACGATCGCCGACAGCGAGGAGGAAAGGCGAGGAAGACAATTCAGAATAGAGTAAATGACAGTTGAAAATGGTGAGAAGGGGAAAATAATTGAAGATGATTGGGTAAAGAATTGAAGATGAAGGAAGAAGAAAGATGAAGAGGAAGAAAGAACCAAAACGATAGAGAGAGAAAGAGATAAAGAGAGTAAGATGAAATAAAAGAAATTATCTGAAACCGTTTGAGTTGAAGATCATGAAAACAGTGATAGTAAAGAACAAAAACAATTCTAAAAACAATTTTTTTCTCTTCTCAAAAAACCAAATATCTGTGATCTAGGGCTAAATCCAGATATTGGATATAGCCCTAGATCACAAGGGGGTGTAAATCTGTACTACGAAGCAAAATTGGGGGGGGGGGGGGAGGGAGGGGTCCAGCAAGGGCCCAAATTCAGATACTGAGGGTGTACACCGACATATTAAATATAATGGATAACAATAATATACACAAGTCTACTTATGATTCATACCTTTGTTCGAAGCATGTCCAATGTTTTATGCACTCCTTCTATTAAGCTATCACCTTTCCATATAACTCAGGCAAATCAAGTTTCAAATGAGAAGAAAATATAGGATTACATCAATATAGAAAGCATAAATGAAACCACCTGTTCATCACCGAAAGTCGTTGGAGACACACAGTGCCACTATCGCTACCATCACAACATTAGTCACCGTGGCTACCGTCGCAGTCACAATCGATATTCCCGCTTCTGACAATATTTCCCGCCGCTGTATATCAGAGTAGATTTTAACAGAAATCAAGAAGCACAATATGATCTTGACGATCACCGACAGCGAGGAGGAGAGGCGAGGAAGACGATTCAGAATAGAGTAAATGACAGTTGAAAATGGTGAGAAGGGGAAAATAATTGAAGATGATTGGGTAAAGAATTGAAGATGAAGGAAGAAGAAAGATGAAGACGAAGAAAGAACCAAAACGGCATAGAGAGAAAGAGATAAAGAGAGTAAGATGAAATGAAAGAAATTATCTGAAACCGTTTGAGTTGAAGATCATGAAAACAGTGATAGTAAAGAAAAAAAACAATTCTAAAAACAATTTTTTTTCTCTTCTCAAAAAACCAAATATTATAATTTTGAAAAAAAGATAAAATTGATTTTTTAGATATATCTGTTTTCATATAGTAGATTCTCTTTAATTTCAAAATTCAAATGATTTTGGTCTATCAAACAAAAAAAACTAAAAAAGAATTAATTCAAGACACCTAAAAGATAGTAATTTTTAGTTTACTATATGAAGTAAACATGAAATGAAGCATTTCTTTAATGCAGCATATATTCCTACCTCCTACAATCGATTCAAATTCAAATTCAAATCCTAAGTGATTTCCACATTATTTTTCGGCACATATTATATTTATTTATCGCGCGCACATAAATAAAGTCAAAAGAAAATGAAAAAAACAACACAAAACACAAGAAAAAAGAAAATGAAAAAACTGCAGAAAACGAATCGCCAATACAACGAAGGTTAGTTTTGACATATGAAAGCAAAATCGTTTCATTCCACAACAACAAACCCTCCTTTTCCTGTTCTGCCTCTCTCTCTCTAACCAACCCCTTATTCTACCAAATCAATCAAACCCTATCAATCAAAATCAAATATTCAATTTCTCAATCCATATCATTTTACTATTCTAAAAAAAAACCCTAATCTCTCCCTCATTAATTTTTTACCCTTTAATTTGGGGTTTTTTATTTTTGGTATTTGATAAATAGCACTACCATTCTATGGCCAAAGGAACCGATTCCAACGAGTTTATGGTTCATTCTAGGGTTCGAACTGGTCTCAAGAGAGAGTTTGCGTTTGCAATGAAGGCTCAATCTGAGATCGACGGTTCGTTAGGTCGAACCCGTGGTGGTAGTAAGAACCGGAATGAGCCGCCGGTTCAGGTTTCTCCGGTTGGGAAAAGGGCCAGGAAAACCGGTTCGGGGAAGATTGTTGAGGATGTGGGTGGTGGTGGGTTGAGTGAGGAAGAGGCTAAGAGTGATGTTGTGGATCTTGGTAGCGATGATGAACCCAAGAATCTTGCTGGGGAATTGGAATCGGTTTTGAATGAACCTAGGGTAGATAAAATAGATATTGAAATAGAAACTGTTAAACCTAATATTTCTGAAACCCTTGAAACCCTTGAGGAACCCAGAGAGGAAAATTGTAATCTTGGTGTTAAGGGTGGTAATGTTAAGAAAAAGAAGGTACCTTTGGAGAAAACAATGAGGAGGTTTACGAGATCAGCATTGAAGGAAAAAGATGAGGAAACTAAGGTTTTGGATGATAATGTTGTTGGAATTGAGGATGATCTTGTTGAAAGGGAAAAAACCGAGGTTTTACCTGTTATGGCGACTCCGACGCCAAGAAAATTGTGTAAATCTTCTGTGAAGAGGTTTCCTATTAAGCTGAAAGATCTTATGGCTACAGGGATTCTTGAGGGGTTGAAGGTGAAATATGTCAAGGGGCAGAAGGTATTGTTTTTTTCTTTCTTGAACTTTTAGTTTTATTGGTGAATGATGTTTATTGTTTAGGAGTTTTTTCTTGTGATGTATGTGCATGTGCATGAGTGTGATATTAGTTTATTGGTGAATAATGTGTAGGCGCGTAAACCTGGAGAAAAAGATTTTCGAGGAGTGATTAAAGATGCTGGGGTTTTGTGCTTTTGTGATAGTTGTAAGGGGGTTCAGGTAAGTAAAAGGAAAGATTGGTTATTGTTTTTCTTTTTTTGGTATTGATTAGCATCTTGTAAGTTTGCAATGTGGTTTTGGTATTTTGTTGAGAGTAGGTTGTCACGCCGACAGTTTTTGAGTTGCATGCTGGTAGTGCTAATAAACGTCCTCCGGAGTATACTTACCTTGAGAATGGAAGAAACCTTCGCGAAGTCATGAATGCATGTTCATGTGTTTCGTTGGACATGTTGGATGAAGCTGTCCAAATGGTCCTTGGTGATTTCACTTTGCAGCAATCTACTATTTGTTTCAACTGCCGAGGTTTTAAACGCATATATGCATATGTTTGCTATTTACTTTTTATACTGTGTAATTTGCAATCCAGTTGATTAAACATATAATTTTGATGAATTATTTGTAGGGTTAATTTCTGAATCTAGTAATGGTGTGTCAAAACTAGTATGCAATTCATGCATGGAGTTGAAAGATACTCAAGCTAACCTCCAAGCAGCTACATCATGCAGTAAAAATATTTCCACCGTAGTTCAACCCAGGTATCTTTTTTATTTTTTTATTGTTATGTAAACATATTGGCTGCATCTTGGTACATTCTAAGAATTTAAGAGAAACTTATGCTATATGAAGTTATTCGAAATCATAGTAAAGGCATAATGTTTGTTCGCCATTTTAGATCCTCCCCGTGTTTGCCTATTCTAAATTCAAAAAGCTCATTATCATGCTGCATGAAGTTATTCGAAATCATAGTAAAGGCATAATGTTTGATCAAAATTTTAGATCCTCCATGTGTTTACCTATTCTAAAATCAAAAGGCTCATTATGTATTGTTTTATTTAATCTCACTTTCAAATGTGTATACTATTACTCGGGCACAAGCTCATGTGTCCCATGATATAAGCTAGCACATTGCTGAGCATGTATTTGAATACATATAATAATGGTACCTGCTGTTTGATATATTGAAGTTCACTGGAACCATAGCTTAAATGATGAGTGAGCCTACTATTTCAGTTTACCAGAAACAGTAGCAGTTTCAGAATCATTAAATACTGAGAAGGCGGTTCCAAAGTCATTAAATACTGAGACGGTGGTTCCTAACTCATCAAACAATGACACGGTGGTTCCTAACTCGTCAAACACTGACACGGTGGTTCCTAACTCGTCAAACACAGACACGGTGGTTCCTAACTCGTCAAACACAGACACGGTGGTTCCTAACTCGTCAAACACAGACACGGTGGTCCCTAACTCATCAGACCCCGAGATGGTAGTTTCAGAGTCATCAAACTCGCAGATTATTCCAAAGGCATCGAACACTGGCATGAAGCAGAGTGCATCTCGTGGCAAGAGCCGGGGAAAAATAACTAGAAAGTAAGTCTGTTTTAAAGCACTTGTTTAAAAGATTTGCTAAAGTAGGAATTTTCTGATTATGGTGTAGATTATATATTATGTAGATTTTGATGTAGATTATAGAATGATATCAGGAATTTAAGGTTTGTTTTTTCTTGAACTTATTTTGATAGGGATCTACGGTTGCATAAGTTGGTATTTGAAGATGACGTGTTACCGGATGGAACTGAAGTAGCTTACTATTCTCATGGAAAGGTTGCTTTGTTTGAAATTGGTTCTGCTTTACCTTGTTTTATGACTCTTACCTTTTTCTGACTCTGCATTTTTGGGTGTGGTCAGAAACTATTGGTCGGTTACAAAAAGGGATACGGAATTTTTTGTACCTGTTGCAATGCGGAAGTCAGTGCATCTCAGTTTGAAGCACATGCTGGATGGGCATCTCGACGCAAGCCGTGAGTTCTTGTTTAAATTCTGTTGTTGGATCTGTAGGGCGTATATAACATGTCTAACTAGCTTTGTAGTGAACTCTGTTTTTCATATGCTGAGTTTTATCCTTTTAAATTCAGGTGTGCTTTGTAGTGAACTCTGTTTTTCATATGCTGAGTTTTATCCTTTTAAATTCAGGTGTGATAGAGAAAAACTATTCAACATTATTAAGGAAACATGCATATTTGCATCTTAAACTCATACTGAATGTAAAACAATGGGTAAAATGGGAAGCATGTTAAGTTAACATTCATGGTTTTACAATTTGAGAATGACATGTGTCATCACTCTGAAAAATGATGTTTTATTCAGATTTGTGAAAGGGGAATATAACCTCAAATTCTGGAATCAAAAGATTCCTACAAAAATACAATCCAGTAAAAAACATAAATTACAGAGCAAAAAAAACTTTTTTAATCACATTTAAAATAATCTATAATCTATAATATAACTATATAAAGGCAAAACACGATTCTGGTGTAGCCTATTTTTGTTTCAATTATGCCCTTTTCAGTTTTTGTTTTTAACCTCGACTTCTCTTTACTAACTGTTATATAGCAGTTTTTATATCTCTTTAATTCCATTTTTCAATTATTTTATAAATAACTAACGTTAAAATAAAATATTAATACATAAAAAATACCATTTATATTTTCACCCGTTTGTGCACTAAAGAAAGCGGACAGACGGGCACGCGTCTGGACACCAGTTAAACTTAAATTCATAAACATACAAATCTGATCCATAGTTATGCTCATCTCAAATCTGATGCAATGTTGGCATTTGAAATGACAAATAAAAACAGAAAAAGATAGAAGAACTTTGGCCAAATGCCCTCAATATAATTTTTTGGCAAGACCCTCAATATATTACTTCTAAAATTGCCTATTTTATGATTTAAATTTCTCAATTTTGACTACCTTGCATGCCATTCTGTAAGGAAGATGAGTATAAGAAATTGATCCCATCTCAAGAAAATGGTTTATAATTGAATTTTAGGAGATTGATTATTTTGTTATTTACTCGTTTTCCATTTCCTAATTTCCAGGTTTCACTGATTTTCTTATTCATGAATTGAAATGTGGTGCTTTGCCAAATTAACCTTCATTTCCTTGTTTAACGTTGAGTTATTGTATTTCAGTTACCTGCACATATATACCTCTAATGGAGTCTCGCTACATGAGTTGTCCCTTTCTCTATCGAAAGATCGTAGATTTTCTGCCAGTGATAATGATGACCTTTGCAGCATATGTCAAGATGGAGGGGATCTTTTGTGTTGTGATGGATGTCCAAGGGCTTTTCACATAGGTGAACATCATTTGCTTCTATTCTAAATTAAATGGCAGTCGATTTGTTTCATATCATATAGGAAATTGTTGAATGGGTTTAGTTTTCTTAAATGGCTGTTTAGTACTCGATTATAAGCAAAAAAGCCTAAATTTAAATATAAGCAAATGTCAAGTATTTATCCACATTTAATGTTTGTATTCCAGTAATGTCCTTAAATTAATTCCTTAATGCTGCTAGTTAAATGCATTTAACTACCATCTTTAGTAATAATTATGAAAGTAGATTTTTTACTTGTAATTCAGTCCTGATTTTCAATTGTAGTATGCAATCTAATCAATTATTTATAATTGAAGAGAAAATGTGACTGATTGTGTTTTTGAATTGTCTCATTTGATTGAATCTCCACTCTTGATACTAAAGATTTAAAAATTGAATGAACAGTAATATAGAAGAATAACTAGAAAAAAAAGGAACAGCTTTTTAACCCCTCAAGATGAATACAAAAAGTCAAGGAAACCAACAGGGGTCCACTGCACATTCGTTTATTTCCCTGCAACTTCAACTTTAAGCTGACATTCCATTTTGTTGTTCCTGTTATGTATGTCATTTTCAGACTGTGTGCCTCTGCCATGTATTCCTAGTGGTACTTGGTATTGTAAATACTGCCAGAATAATTTCCTGAAGGAGAGTAATGTGGAGCGCAATGTGAATGCTCTGGCAGCTGGAAGGATTGCAGGTATCGATCCTTTAGAACAGATTAACCGAAGATGCATTCGCATTGTCAAAAGTGTAGCTGTTGATCACGGGGGATGTGCCTTGTGTGGGTAATACTTTATTATATTTTTCAGCTAGTTTCATGTTGAATTTAGATATATATAATTTGAAATCTTAATTTTCTATCTCTTGTCTACCTTGATATATAACTTAGACGATGCAATTTTTTATGCTGTGGTTTGTGACATTTAAGGGCTTGATTCTTTTAGTGCTTATTTTCCGTCATTTTTGGCTAGACACTCATCTTCCTTGATGTTTTTGATGTTATATACAGATGTCATGATTTCGTTAAATTATTTGGTCCTCGAACAGTGATTATTTGTGATCAGGTATTGCTTTATGTTGTTGATGTAATGTACAGATGTCATGATTTCAATTGCTTTTATTTTGCACTAGATTATTTGATGCACTGATTGATGTGTTCTTGCAGTGTGAAAAGGAGTATCATGTTGGGTGTTTGAAGGAACATAACATGCAGAACCTAGAGGTAACAACTTAGTTTCTAATTCTTTTAACTTTGATTGAGATTTGCTTGCTTTTTGTAATGCATGCATGTGTTGATTGAATGTTGTTTATCAGGAATTGCCTGAAGGGAATTGGTTTTGTAGCACTGGTTGCAGTCAAATTCATTCTTCTCTAGTGAATTTGGTTGCTTCTGGGGAGAATTATCTCCCTGATTCTAGTCTAAGTTTGATCAAAAGGAAGTGTAAAGAGAAAGGTGTAGACACTGGCGTCAAAGAGAAAGATGCAAACACTGGCGTTGTAGATAAAGGTGCAGATGCCGTTGTTGTAGATAAAGGTGCAGACGCTGGCGTTGAAGAGAAAGGTGCAGACACTGCCGATGAAGAGAAAGGTGCCGACACTGTTGATGAAGAGAAAGGTGGGTTAGATACTGTTGATGAAGACAAAGGTGGGTTAGATACTGTTGTTGAAGGTGTAGACCCGAACGTCGAAGAGAAATGTTTAGACACTGATGTTGGTCCTGAAATTAAATGGAGGGTTCTGAATTGGAAATTAGTTGTATCTGATGAAAATAAGCAATTGTCTGACGAATATAGGCAAGTGCTTTCGAAGGCTGTTTCCATCTTCCATGTGAGTATATTTGTGTTTCTGCCCCATATAACTTTTGGTAATTTGGATTTTGAATTTCTATCATCAAGTTTATTATATGTTTTGCTTGATAGCTTTGTTTTTAAGAGTGGGATCGTTTTGTCTCCAGGAGAGGTTTGATCCTATAGTTGATTCTTCTTCTGGCCGCGATTTCATTCCGACAATGCTGTTTGGGTAAGTATCAGTTGTATTCTTCTTTTCAGTTGATATTTTGTTGTAACATATATGAATGCTAATGAATGTGTTTTCTCATAATTGTTTGACTTCCACAGAAAGAACATTCGCGGACAAGATTTTGGTGGAATGTACTGTGCAGTGCTCACTGTCAAGTAAGGGATAACAACAAGGGAATGGCTTTCTATTGTTTTGTCCACTTGCTTGTTTTGCTTATTCCCGTTTTTTTTAAAATTGTTTTTCAGTCAAGTTGTTGTTTCTGCTGGAGTATTTCGTGTTTTTGGGCCAGAAGTCGCTGAACTTCCCTTGGTGGCGACAGTTGCTGAGTACCAAGGACAGGTTATTTGATTTTTCTTGTGTTAAACATGCATGCTTTTTGAAGTTGATTAATTAGTGTCGGCAAATATTCTTAACTGAAAATCATACTTGTCTATTTAGGGGTACTTTCAATGTCTATTCTCTTGTATTGAGAGACTACTTGGACATCTTAGCGTGAAAACGCTTGTCCTACCGGCTGCTGACGAAGCTAAATCAATATGGACCAACAAATTTGGGTTTACAAAGCTCGAGCACGATGAGGTGTGTATTTTTATATTATGTTTCTCATAAAGGTAAGTTGTTTGCTATTCGATACACTAACCGCCGTTGTTGTTGTTCGTTCTTACAGATCAACAATTACAGGAGATTTTATCATATGATGATCTTTCAAGGGACCTCAGTACTACAAAAGCCTGTTCCTGGACTACCAAGTGCTTCTCAGGAGAATGTGTAAAGTTTATATGCAGTGGCTTTAGTTTTTGGGTTTGTTTTGGTGGGGTGCAGAGCACACTTGTTCAGCATGTACAGAGTGATCTGCCATTTTGGTGTACAGAAAAACAACAACTTGCTGATGCAATTTTTTGTAGCATGGAAATGAAATGAGAAATTAGAATTGAAAATTGAGAAAGGGTAAAGAGATGTTTGAGAAACTAGCCAAATTTTTTTGTTACAAATTCACTTATTAACTGCTAACCAGTGGTTTTAACGCGATTCTGATATGAATATAAAGATCCAGCTTCTGTTCTTACCAACATTATTTTTTGTAACCATTTGTTGTGATGCTGTAAATTCTAAAATCATCAATAGTTGTTTTTTAAGGTTATGTTTGGGAGTTTGGAGGGGAGGAGGGAGAGGGCTTTGAAAAATAGGAAGTATTAGATAAAAAAAGTAGAAAGGTTTTGTTAGGAGTTTTGGAGGGTTTGTTTTCTTCATATCACTAAAAATCTTTTAATTTGGGAGAATTCAAAATTTGTATTGGAGGAGGGTTTCAGAGGGTTTAGACAAATTATTCAAATATAATTTTTATTATGCCCAAATTATTCAAATATAATTTTTGTTATAGTTTTTCATAAAGTAAAAACACATTATGAAAAGAAGGATAAAATATTTATCATTCTAAATAAACTTTTTTTTTAAAAAAATGTAAAGTTTCTCCATATTTTAAAAAAAACTATTTTTTGAAGCCCTCTTTTCTCCTCCTCTTCAAACTCTCAAAGTGTGTTTGGAGGAAAGAAGAATAGGGGATATTTTAGATGAAGAGTTTTGATATAGTTTAAGAGGTGGATTAGAGCCAAGTGTTCATGATTTATGAATTGAATAGTGTTCTGGATTGGGCCTGCCCGTGGTTCAATCACCAGTGAGACCCAATTCAAGCTTTGCAATCTATCATGTTGAGTATTACATCTTTCGAGCACACCCAATCATGAGTAATGGGTCGAATATGACTGCGTTCGTCGGTGCCCGCGAAGAATGTCCCCGACGAGGGACGTCCAAGACGAGGAACATCCCAATCCAAGCCCTGCTCGAGTACCCTCTTCTTAGGACATACTTTCAACCTCTCCGGATGTCTCGGAGTCCTCAGGATCCCGGGAAGACCGCGTCTTCACCCTCCCTATTCTGCAGAGAGCATCATCCAGATAGGGTACCACGTGCAGGTCCCCACTACTCACGTAGAACCTGGCAGTCTCTTTGTTGGGCCAGTTTGGTCAGCTCAATAAAGGGACCTTGGCCCAGCGCCGGGGGCTATAAATACCCTCTATTTCAAGAGGGTCAGGTATTCATTCATTCACACCTATATACTTATTTGCCTGCTCATTTCGTCTCTCACTTTGTCATCAGAGTGTCTTGCGGGTACCCTCCATCTCCTTCAAATCCAATTCAAAGCCAGCTGTGACGGTCCAACTCTAATCAGGTACGATCAGTGGCGCTGTCTGTGGGAATCCAAGCTTCCCTGTCTTATTCAGTTAAAAAGATCAAAGCTAAAACCATCCTCGACTGTCATGGCTGACCAGACTCAGGACAACAACCAGAACGTCCGCGTCATCGAAGCTAACAACAACCTCGTCGACAATAATGTCGGCCCCGACAACGCCGGCGTCACCGACCATATCACTGTCCCCGGCGACAACATTCCCAGGCCTTCCAACTATGGAGACGGAGCCACGACCTCGTCTTCATCAATCCCTCCTCGGCTCGAAGAAGATCATCCAGTTCCTTCGAACTATCCAGCCGTCCAATTCCACGAGGTTCCTGTTCCCGCCGGGGCAGACGCCACGACCAGGGCATTGTTTGCGGCGACTAACCATACTAACTATCTCATCTTTGCCCAGGGAGAAAGACTGAGAGCACTTGAAGACGACCGAAGGCCCCCTAGAAGACACAAGAGGCCTCAATCCCCTCCTCCTCGACGAACGGAGGAACGTCCCCGATCTCCCCTGCGGAGACAGGATCAGGACATCTCTCGAAGCCCGTTGCCCCGACCAATCGAGCGACGAACCCCCTTGGAGAAAGAACAACTCATCGAAACCGGAAGGCGCGACCACGACCCTTCACGGCAAGAACGAAGACCTCCCAGGGACAGACACGGAGGAATCTGTCAACGGTTACATCGCTCGAGGAACGTCCCGCACGACCAGGGTCATCATGACCGACAATACATCAGATCCCGGTCCCGCTCCCCGGAACAGAGTGACGAGGATGACCCCCGAGGTCCCTTGTCACAAGCTATCATGGAGGCGCCCATTCCCCCGGGCATGGAGAAGCCTCCCCACTTAAAAGAATATGACGGCATCGCCGACTCGATTGACCACATAGACGGGTTCGAGGTCACGCTGCACTACCACAACGTCGAGGGACCAATCAAATGTCGGTTGTTCCTCACGACCCTGAGGAAAGTAGCTATGGACTGGTACAAGGGTCTCGCCCCTGGGTCAATTACCTCGTGGCGAAACTTGAAGAACCAATTCATCAGCTCGTTCACTGCGTCGCGGCGACATCCGAAGACCGAAGCAGCGCTCGAGGCCATCGTCAAGAAGCACGATGAGACCTTGAGGGAATTCATCAACCGCTTCAACCGGGAAGCCATCCATGTCCCTTGCACGAACCATATGAAGAGATATCTGCTGGAGAGGGGGCTTCTCCCCGGCACCGAATTCAGGAAAGCCATGGGCATCGAACCACTCCGAACGTTCGATGCCCTCCTCGAGAAGGCCAGAGCCTACATAGACTACGAGGAGAGGGAAGCGACCAACAGAGCCCGAGACCCCAGGAATCGCAGATCCAACAGCAATCTGCGATAAGATACCGCCTCTCCTCGACGAACAGGGGAAAAGAGAAAGGAAGACAAACCCCGGGACGCCCGGGAGCAAAGGGGGCCCTCGGGAAGGTTCACAGAATACACTTCGCTCACGGCTTCCCACGAGCGCATCTTAGGGGAGTGTGCGAGTACAGACTTTAAAGATGGCGACGTCAAGCGTCCCCGACCAGCTCTTGCCAAACCCGAGGTGGACCGGAGTAAATACTGCCAGTACCACCGGAGCCACAGGCATCTGACCGAAGACTGCGTCCACATCAAAGACGCCATCGAGACCCTCATAAAAGGGGGGAGACTCGCGCAGTATCGGTGAAATGACGCTCCTCTTCTTGACTCCCGCGAGATTAGGGAAGCAGAAGAGGATGCCCAACCATCTGACGAGTCGGTTCCGATCCAAACCGCGTTCTCCGTCACAATACCCGAGGACTTCTACGTCCCCGATCACATGCAAGAACCGCTATCGACGCACAGCAGGTGGGAACACTTCCCCTCCACCATGGTCATCAATGGTGGAGGGTTCAACGGAGGGGCCCCTAATTCGGTCATCCCTCTGCTGATAAGAGCGAGAATGGCCAACTTCGACGTACACCGCGTCCTCGTCGACGAAGGAAGTTCCGTCGATGTGATGTATAACCAACTGTTCCAAACCCTGCAGCTCGACGACTCTCACCTCTCGGCTTACATGGGGTCGGACCTGCAGGACTTTAATGACTCAACTTCCAAGCCTTAGGGATACGTCGAGCTCATGGTCACATTCGACGAGGATACGACAACAAGACAAGTCAAGGTTCGCTTCCTCGTCATTGATTGCCCGTCCCTCTACAACTGCATTTTGGGAAGGCCGACACTGGCGGAGCTGACCGCAGTACCCTCAACCGTTCATCTAAAAATAAAGTTTTACACCAAGAGGGCACGGGTCGCCACAATCCAAGGGGACCTAGCAGCTTCTCGAAGGTGTTTTAACGCGGCATCCAAGGGACGCGATACAACCGACACCAACACAAGGCCCGCCAAGAGAGCTGCAACAACACGACCAGAGCCTCAGAGGTCAGAGCCCGTCAAAGCAGAAGATCAGAGAGCCCCTCCAGAGGTCGACTTAATATCCCTGGACACCCGCTTCGACCAGGATGAGCCTCATAGCAGCGAGCAAGTCCCCCTTCGACCAATTACGGACGAGGACTTCGAACTCGTCCCCCTCGGTGAAGACCCAAGCAGAGGAGTGAAGATTGGCACCGGACTCCCTGACTTGGCAAGGAAGCAAATCAAAGCTTGCTTGCACGAGAATGCAGACCTGTTCGCGTGGAGCGCTGCGGAGATTCCCGGACTCGACCCTGAGTCGCCTGTCACCAACTCGCCATTGATCCAACTGCTAGGGCGGTAGTGCAACGTAGACGTAGGCAGTCTCTGGAGAAAATAGAGGTCGCTGAAAAAGCTGTAAAAGACCTCCTAGAGGCAAATTTTATTTTGAAGCCCGATATTCAACCTAGCTGTCAAATGTTGTACTTGTCAAGAAAAATAATGGAAAATGGCGAATGTGCATTGATTATACCGATCTTAACTGGGCATACTCGAAAGATGCATTTCCTTTACCTAACATAGATATGTTGGTCGATAACTTGACCAGTTATAAAATACTATCGTTTATGGATGCCTATTCGGGCTATAACCAAATCCCAATGGCAATAAGCGACAAGCATTGCACCACTTTCATGACCAGCTCGGGCAACTATTACTACAACGTAATGCCCTTTGGTCTGAAAAATGCAGGAGCAACGTATCAACAGATGATGAACAAAGTATTCCACAACCAAATCGGGGATATGCTCGAGGTATACATGGACAACATGTTCGTCAAGTCCCGAGCAAACACCGACCACGCTGCTCACCTCAGGGAAGTCTTTGCTCAAGTGAGGCAATGCAAAATGAGATTTAACCCCGAGAAGTGCACGTTCGGGGTCAAGGCGGGTAAATTCCTCAGCTTCTACTTGACAGAACGAGGAATTAAAGCCAACCCCGAAAAATTCCGGGCTTTCTCCGACCTCCCCACGCCTATATCAAAGAAATCCATACAAGTCCTGAATGGCATGCTCACCTCGTTATTCCGTTTCGTTGCGAAATCTACTCAACACACCCTCCCTTTC